TAGATGGAGGAGAGTAGTAGGAACACCCCTCAAATTGCTGTACCAGGGCATCTGCCTTTCTGTTCCTCATGGAAACAGAAACGTTAACTACAGCCCTTACGGTCCGGTCCAGTCACTGGGCTGCAGCTGGAGTGCTCATCCAGTCAGGATTTTGTATGAATTAAATAAACTTTATTCTCCCTTCTTGTACTTTTGTTTTAATTTTTTCTCTTTTCTTCTTGCTTTTGTCCATAGGGGCCCAGTTCTCTCTCATGCCTGGACACCTACCACCATTTTGTATAGTGATTAAATGAAGAAAATTTATACAATTCACTGAAAGTTACACACATTTCCAGCACAGGGACAAGAATTTGGATTCTCTGAATTCCACATAGAGGCTTTTCTACCACATTGATGTTTCCCCAAAGGATCAACTGACTGAAGTTAGTTTGGAAAGAAGCAAAGCGTGAGTGTGCATTTGTGTTTGTGTGTGTGTGTGTGTGTGTGTGTATTTGAGGGGTGATGGGGAAGAGTCTTTGGTTGCTTGTTCCTCTCCTATTGCCTTATACTACCATGTTTATGCTCTTCATACTTCTTCAATTTTTCTCTTATTTTCACTATTCAGTTCTTCTACTCTCTCCCTGCATTCTTCTCTTCCTCTAAATTGCCCCCTTTCCCACAGCTTTCTTCACTTTTTCCCATCTCTGTATCCTCTTCATCTCTTACTTCCTTATTCTCCTTCCCCTGACTCACTCTGAAGGTTCAGTAGGCCCCTGAAAATATAAAACCTGGATTTTAAGGGACATTAAAGATATGTAATTTTGATTAATTTATACTATAGCCAGTTTAATAAGGATTATTTGATGTCCAATGAGCCTTTGAAAAGCCTTAAGGTTTTTCCTCTGAAATGGTAATGTTACCTTTTTTACGTGAAACTAACTCAAATACTCAGAGACCAACTTTTTACTGAGAACTTTCTTTGTTCACAAAAAAGGTGTGCATAGCTATTTTAGCAGTTATGGAAGCTATAAGAAATTATCTCTCTGAAAGTTGTGATGCAAGATATAACTCTAAAGTATGCACCAACATCCTGTCCCAGTGGAGCAAAGGCAGATTTGAGAAGGCAAGAATTTGCACATGAATTAAATTAAATAGACTGGTAATAAACTTGGGTCTGTCAAAAGTGGGACTTAGTTGAGAAGTATCTGGATAGACAAGAATCTGGATGGCAGGAATGTTAAAGCATAGTCTAAGGGCTGGGAACTTTGTTGATCAATGGGCAGATGTCAGATGTCAAGGCTAGTATAGCTCTGAGGCAGGCTATGGGTGCTGACGTCCAAGGTCAGCTACGAATAAGGCTTCTTTCTCTGCTGTCATAATGGAGCTCCAGCTATCTGATTATGGGTAGCTCTTATCTGCTTTTGTCCCTCTTTGTCAGGTGGAGCCTCCTGAAGGGTCAGGCTTGCAAAGGCAGTGCTTAACCACCGGTGAAAGCATCAGAAGCCTTATTTATGGGGGATCATTTACTATCTGTGGTGGATGGCAACACCTCCTAAAACACTGGCTCCTTGGGGGCTGATCATACAGGTCACCATGTTCTCTTTTAGCAAGGCATCTTTTTTGATGATCCTACACTTTCAGGGAACCGGGAGAGAGGGCAGTGACAGGAAATTCTTAGTTCTCTACATATTCCCTGTGGGAAGGAGATTAAGATGCTGTGTTTAGTGAGATAACAGATGGCACATGATTCTAGTTAGAGGTCCTAGGCCAGTATCCTACATCTTTCAGTATGGACTGTAAATTTTTCTATAGTTTCTACTCAAAATATAGACTAAAATCAGAGACTATGGAGTCAGATTTTTTCACTATTTGCTGGGTGACCTTGGGCATGTTGTTTTGCTTATTTGTTTCTCAGCTTCTTTAACTTTTAAATGAGACTTTAATAGTATAAAGCTAAGTGCATTTTAGAATTAGTTATTATATTTGTTGCACTTATAGCTGTGAGTATTGTTCTGTGTCCAGGTTGGCCAAGGCAAGGAAATGTTGGCAGAATGTGACTACCCACAGGAGCTATTAGAAAGTAAAGCTTTTGTGTCTGTGTGGTAAATCTGTTTTGTAGTTAGTCTGAGCACACATTCCTTTGTTACTCTGCATCTCCTTATAATTGAGAGGCTGCAAAGCCCAAACTACATTTCTTGGGCTTCCTTCTGCCTGGAAGGCCAGCTCTTCAGGGGGGCTTGGGGAGTCCTTCCTAAAGACTCAGCTGAGAGTTCAGTTTTCCTTTCAGTGTTGTTGGCATCCAGTTTCCTACTTCACACTCCTTTCTGTCGGACTGGTTGTGATTCCTGCTTTTTACAACTGAACCTGGATCTGACAGTCTCCTGGATAGTTATTTTAAGTCTAAAGGAGGAGGCAATTCAGTCTGATTTTGTAAGGCTGGAAGAGCACAGGTATTAATTGTCTAGTCTAATTTTGCTCCCCACTTGAAATACTTTCTTTAGATTCTTCATTTATCAGCTTGAGCTATAAGGACTTTCTTATCCCTTGTAAAGTATATTTAGAGATTTTTCTGCATCTCACACAATGTATTTTTCTCAGATTGACTACAGGAGGGAAGTCTATTAGTAAAGGCATTGATAAGACCTGTAATTATGTGATGGTACCTGAGTATTATGTGTTGAGTCACTTCAACAATAGGAAGATTAAGGTCCAATTGTTCTCCTGACACAATACCTAGCATCTTGTTTAATAAATTATGGTTGCTACATTCATTGAATTACATGAATGCCTAGTGTGGTGAATGCATAATTATTTATGTTGGACCCATGGTTTTGTCTTCATATACATATTGTTTTGAGACAGGGTCTTGCTATATAGTTCAGCCTAGCTTTGAACTCACTATGTAGCCCAGGAAGGCCTTGAACTCATGGTGATCCTCCTGCCTCAGCTCCCAAGTGTTGGGATTATAGGCATGTGCCACCATGCCAGGCTTGTCTTCATACTTTTATAAGAGGTTATCTTAGATTTTGGGAGGTGGGGAAGAGATTCAACGTGGTAACCATGTTGAAAATTTGGGTAAGGTTGAGATTACTTGATGAAATTAGAAAGGCAACTCCTAGTAGAATAAGGTGGGCACAGCTGTATGAATTCCTTGTGATTATCCTCACTGAGGCACAGGAGATTTCTTTCTTCAGTGTATGTCAGTGGTAGGTTTAGTAGTTCGAGTTAAGCAATATATATATTATATTATATTATATATGTATATGTATGTATTAGAACTTTCTATTTTTAGTTTCTATCTCCAAATCTGCAAAATTTATGCTCAATGGAGGTTACCTGCATAATAATCCACTATAAATGTTAAAAGCTAACCAAGAGGGAGTGGAGGGAGTAGAAGATAAAGAACTTCAGTATGGAATTCCAGGGCCATTTCACAAATCACTAGGAGCTGTGAGTCTGCTTGGTAGAGGACTAATAGGTATCTACAAGTGGGAGAGGATTAGGATTTAGTCTTACACCCTGCTATGGCTCAGATGCTGGAAGGCTGGTCCCTGGTGTGGTGGTGTGAGGTGGTGGAATCTTTAAGAGGTGAGGCCTAGTGGAAGGTAATTAGCTCATGGGGTGGTGGGGGCACCATGCTTTTGAATGAATTAATTCTCTCAGGAGTTCTAGCTCTTGTGGAATTAGATTAGTACCTTTGGGAGCCAATTGTCATAAAGTAAATCCACTCCACACACTAGGCCTCTCTGCACACATCCGGTTCTCTTTGTTTCTCCATTGTGAGTGGTGTAACCAGGAGGACCTTGTCAAGATGCCAGCGTTATACTCTTTGGGCCCTCCAGCCAGAGTTGTGAACTGAATAAACCTCTTTATTTTATAAATTGTCCAGTTTCAGTATTTCGTTATAGTGACACAAAATTGATTAATATATACAATGAGATTGGGTGAGAGAGTTTCCAGGACTTGATTTAGCTAAATGATTTGGTCAGACAGATTGCTGAGAACTGTAGCTATAAGCTTGTTCAATTGGCCAGAGGGTTTTAGTCTATTAAGGCCAGTTAGCAGAAGAAAGGAGCAGATAAACAGTGAAGGTAGTTTTTTTTTTTCTGGGGTGGGGGGTAATTATCCTCCATCATATTTTAAATTTCTGAAAGCTTGCTTTAATTCTATGAACATTCACTTTTAAAATGATCTTGTTCTCAATTCATTATTGCACTATTTTCTCAGGCTTCTATTAGGTTTTAATTTTTTTGAAGGGGAACCTTACCATCTTTCCAAATAGTTTTCATATAATATCCTCCAAAATGTCTTCAGCACTCCTTTGTCTTTGATTTCTTTTTATGAGTGATTTCCTGAGATCTCTGGTTATATTAAAAATGGAAGAGTAGAAGCTGATATGAATCTCTGAGCCCATGGGTGGGCTTGCTGATATGGGCTTTAATGCAGAGTGATCTGTTTGAGCCATAATATTGGGAAAACTGATGTCAGTAACTTTTGTCTCTCATCTGGGACAAATCACAGTCCTCAGTGAAAGTGTTCTAGTCTCAGAAAAGGGTGAAGGTCAATGATCTGAGAGCTAAGAGAGAAGATTGCCAGGAAGGGTGGGGGTTGCTCAGTATGCGGGTTGCAAAGTTCCACTTAATCTTGCTCCATGCCCCCTTTAACTTTACCTCCTTCTCTACCTTATTGATGGCATCTTGATTATTTGCATTTGATTTTCCCAAAAGAGTAAAGCTCAATTTTCCTGATAGAGTGGCAATCGGGAATTCTACACATTGTTAAATAGCCTTCTAGATATTCCTCCACTTTCACCTAGAAGTATGTAGTTAATCTTGTGGTTTAAATCCAATTAGTTATTATCTTTCCTTGCCAGTGTTTCTTTGGTCTACCAAGTCAGTTACCCTATCCTTGTAGGTATAGGCCCTAAAACTTCCTTCTATGGTGTTTTAGTGGAATTATATGAGGAAGTATAAATCAGGTAATCAAATGTGGAAATCTTTTTTTTTTTTTTTTCATGCATGATGTTTTATTCTTTGAAGAATGGTTCTAAAACATCACACTAAGGCCGAAAAACAAAGTTTGAGGTAAACAGTTTTGAGGATGAGTTATAACACAATAATGCTTGTTCATTCTAAGGAAACCTGATCTTGGAGCTTATGATGTACCAGTTGGCAGTAGCACCCACGTTTCCCAGAGCTGGTCATTATTTTTCTCCTGTTTGCATAGACTTCTTCTCATTAGCTGCCTTTTGCTTTTGTTGCATGATCTCAGAGTCCCTCTGCTTTCTTTGAGAAGTAGTCAAGCTATCCTCTTTTCTTTTTCCCTTGCTAATTTCTTGGGTTTTTTTCATATTCTTCTGTCGGGCAAGTTCTCGTTGATTACCACGGGCCATGTCGACCACGTGGAGCCTAGAGGAGAGCGCCTCAGAGAAGCAAAGGTTCCCTCGCATGCCCATCGGCCGCCGCCACCCGTCAATCTGGAAGGCCAAGCCTGCGCGGGCCCTCAGCGGGGCGACGCCTCCGCTCTCACAGCCGGCAGCCAGATGTGGAAATCTTAATCTCCTTCCTAAGGGAGTTTTTCAGACCTGAAAGAAGGGAACTACCTCCATCCCCTCCCATAAAGGCTTCTCCCTCCTGGAGGGAGGATGTAGGGTTTGTCTAGGCATTTGGTTGTCTGTGGTATAGTGAAGGATCAGGCTTTGATTTATGACTGTGTGGTTCATCTGAAGCTCAGGCTACCTTCTAGGGGCAAGATAAAGGACCAAACAACAGGGTCCATTCCTGGAACCTGGGTACTACCTGCTGTTTTACTCAGTACTTCATCCTTCACTTCTGTAACCACCCTCAACTCCTGTGAGTTGCCTGTCTCAGACAGCCTGGATCGAGTCCGTGGCTCCTGGAGGAAGGGCCTCACTGGGGATAGGACTCTCAGAGCTTTACCTATGAGCATATCATATCCCCCCACCTTTTAATGTCTCTTCATATAGGGGGTGAGCTATTTTCAAAGACTAATAATGGCTTAATGTTGTATACCTTAAAGCAGTTTTGCTTTCAAGCATGTTTCTCATGCCTGTAGCTCAAAGAGTGATAAAAGTGAAATATTCAGGCTGCATTTCTGACTGGGAGAGTTACTTTGTTTATAAAGTTGCCCAGAGATAACTTCTCATGACTTTGTTCTCATTTGGGAGCTACATTGACTAAGATTTTTGGGTATATTTTAGGAGTTCAGAGATTTTGTGGCCAAAAGAGAAGATACTGCCATGAAAATTTTGTTTCTACAAGACTTCAATGTGCTGATATTCCTATCTTGTAGAAATTGACCAGATTTCATGGAATTTGAAGTCAATTGAAAGGTAGTCTGTTGGATTCATTTCATGAATTCAAAGTATTCAGAGAAAAACTGTTTTCTCTGCCATGGTGATTGAGAAATTGAAGACAGCTAGAGTGATATGTCATGCTTGGTTATGTGCTCCTCTGATGCCAGTTTGGAGTAAAAGCTGAACTTTGTTGTTGAGAGCCACAGTGAACCGTGGAAACATTGATTGTGGATTGCTGGGTGGTGGAGCATTTCTCACTTAGAAAGAGACTCATCCTTGCCTCAGTGGCCTGGGGAGATAAGCTTAATCCTCACTATTTCCACAGAGCCTAGTTGCCTCTTTTGTTTTCTTCTAAAGAGTAAATATTTAAATAGGTAAGATAGAAAAATTGCCAGTTTTCTTCCATAGGTCATGGCTGGGAGTTAAAAGAGAGATTGAGGCAGAGTTCACATGTGGAGAGAAAATGTAGTGATCATATGTAATCCCTTTAAAGTAAAGACATTAGACTTCTTGATTTGCAATTGGCCAAGTTGAGCAAAGTTTTCTCTGAAAAGCCATTTCAAGATAAAAAAATTAAGAATTTTCTTAAATCCTGTGATTAGAGTGTGATATATATTTATGGTCCCCCCAGGCACCACACAATAAAAATGGTTAAAACCTTTAGTCCTTTTAGGAGTTCACAGTTTTATTGCCAAAGTTATTTTGTAGATTTCATGCTTAAAGCAAGGTCAATGTATTGCACTGTATAAATTATTCTAAGTAATTGCTCAGTTATTTTATAGCTTAGGCACAGGATTTTTTCATTATTAAAAGTAGCTTTTCCTTTAAAGTTAGGAGGGGAAGGGCACGATAAATCACAGGTCAGACTGCATTGGGGTTTCAGCTCTACCTGTGATAAGAGTTTAATAACAATCTAGCCCCGAAACCAGCTCCCTCTCAATTACCTTTCCACCTGGGCATGAGTTCACACTGTTTATTAAAAACTCCCCTTGTAGTTTTCAAATAGAGTGTTTCAGATTAATTGCCCCCATGGACTTTAACTTCATTGCACTTCATTAAAGCTAGATTGTACAAAAGGTTACTTCAATTAAATCCAGAATGCAACCTTAAATCTGTGTAGTTTTTTTTTCAAAAATGTGATAAAATTGCTGTGCCAATCCTCAGAGATTAACAAGGCAACATCCCTTTCGGTAACAAAAGTGCAAAAAACTGTGCACCTGTTCTGAATTTTCCTATGGCTATACATTTGGATTTTATAGTATCAGGAACCAATCCATGGATATTGGCTGGAATTATACATGGGTCAGGCTTCTGGGGAACTGACTGACCATGTGGGGCTAGGGAGTTTGTGAAACATTTTGTTCCACTTCAGTGCATGCTGTAAGTTTGGTACTTCAGATACAAATTGTTTTTCATGCAATAAAAATGTTTTTCTAAGTAGATTAGAAAGTAATATAAAATTTTCTGTGAGTAGCATGGCTACTCCAATCTGTAAAGAATAGCTTGTGGCAGTTAGCCACTTTCCCCCACAATTCATGATAATTGGTAGCATTAATTACCCATCCTATACCATGAGAATGTGGCCTCATTATCTTGAGGCAATGTGTAAATTGATGCTCATTAACACCATAACTCAATAGCTCAATTTTATCTTTTTGTGGGTTTTAAATGACTCAGTGCAACTAGCCTAGATTCATTTTTTTCATTTTTTGCTCCTTTTGAATGGATGACATGCCAAAATTGTGTGATCTCACAACCAACACCTAGACCATGTTTATAATTTTCTTAGACTATAAGAATTTTTAAATGCTTTGGATTTTTATTCTTGAACATTGGTTAAGTTTAAAATTGCTACCTTCATCCCACTAGTGATTGAATCCAAGGTCCTGTTCCTGGTAGACAAATATTCTACCACTGAACTGTATCTCCAGCCCCATTTCACCTCTGGCTCTTTATTTTGAGACAGTGTCTCACTAAGTTGCCCAGACTGGTTTCAAACTTGTGATATTCCAGCCTTAGTGTCCTGAGTACCTTGGCATTATAGCCTTGCACCAGTATAGTGTGCCTAAAATTGCTAAGGTTTTAATTGACACTGTTATTCTTCCTTTTTGAATATTAGTCATACAGAGTTTCTTCCTGGGTCTGAATTTATATTTTTCTGTTAAGCTTTTCTGCTGATATTTTGCTTTTTACCAAAGCTGTGTCTACTTTTTATAATTGAAAGTGGCATTTATTAAAGGATGAAAAATAATCAAAACATTTAAATGTCTTACATATGTACTTAACAATATTTGTTTGTACATAGGATCTATATGAGGCACAGAGAGAAGTGAGGTGATCTAAGGAAAGTGACATAAAAGCCCACCTGTGGGACACATTTACATATTTTAAAAGTAATTTATTTCAGTGAATGTATTGAAACTGGAGTGTAAATACATCATTGTATGAAAGATGGATGAGCCACTAAATGATTATCACTAATTAATAACTTAGTCCATTCAGCTAGTTACTTATTTGGATGCTCAGGGAATAATAAAAAAAAGGAATATATTTTGATTTAAAGAAACTGAATACTTTAAATTGTTGAATAAATGGATATACATTAGAAGTGAACTGAAGGCAAACATCTACTTTAGAACTTGAGTTTTGGTTGTCTTAGTAAAGTGCTTGAATACTGTAGGTACTTAATATGTATTTGCTTTAGAAAAGTATTATGCAAACAAATTGAAATAAATTATTAGTACCAAGAGGCAATGTTAGTTGCAAGCACTTCAGGCACAGAGGTTTCAGTCCTCACAGTGAACTCTGTCGGCTACTAAGCTAATTTTGGTTTTATGATTTGGAAAATGAGCATCATAATTCTTTCTGATGTGAATTAGTTGGGGTGTGACTGGACCATGAAGATTCAAGGTAGGTTACTGGAGTGGTCATGAGTTATAACCATATAGATGAAAGTTTTAGAAGACATAAGGCAGAAAGTTTAAAGTCATAAATATGGCTTTTAAGGTCACAGTTATAATGGAGGGCAGGACCCTGGATAGATCCCTGATCTACAGCAATTGTAATTGTGAGAAAAATTTCTTCCAAGTTACCTTCTTTTATTTAGATTTTATGATTTTCTGGCTGGCATCTCTGCCAGAGAGAATTATCTGGCTTTGTCAATGAGAATGTAGAAATTTGGGGAAAGATCAATGAGGTTCTCAGCTGCAAATAATAGGAATCAACTCCATCTAGTTTAAGTAGAAAGTTCAAATTAAGTTATGTTTACTAGAAGTATATTTAGAAGAATCAATCCTAAGTCAATAGGACTATCAGAAAATTTGTGGAAACCAAGTGAAACTTTGCACTTGAGCACAAAGCCATTAGCACTGCTGATATGGACAGTTACTACGTCGATACTGCTGTGCTTTGACTAGTCAGTTGCAATGACTTTACACCTTCTCTACCATCCTCAGAGCTCTGGATTAATTTCTCAAACTCCTAGACCTGATCAAAGGTCTAACTCCCATGCTTAAGTCTTGGGTCTCCACCCTCGCTTCCTGGGAGCAGAGAGATGAGATGTCTGCTTTTATTTCGCTTCTTTAATGTTCTATAGCAGCAAAGGTGGGAACTTAAAAAAATTGTTATCTTTGCTCTGACCTTCAGGATTCTCACTCTTTGAAAAGCGTGGCAGTCTTCTGGGGTGGACTTGGCCTTTGGTTTTGTCTCTTCCCACCCACCTATCAGCTTGTGAAAGTTGTAGTAGAAGTTTTGCAGATACTCAGTAGTGACATGTTGGTTTAATGGTTTCTTTTCCTTTCCAGGTTTCTGGTTTGACTTAGATTTATAATTCTTAGTATTTCTTACTTTCATCAATGGTTTTTTGCAAGATTTAAACTCTTTGTATCCAGGATTTTCCCTTATTTTCAATGTGCTTATCTGATCATACATTCAGAAATAGGAGTGAAGTCTGATGATTTGTAATTACCTCTTTAAAAAGAATAAAGGTATGCATATTAAAATTGAAAAGAAAAGGATTCCTGAAATAACAAGGAGGGAATATACTCAAACATTCCCAGATGATGAAATAATAGGGC